TTTTTGTTGTGGCTCTGTTTTGTGTGTGTGTGTGTGTGTGTGTGTGTGTGTGTGTGTGTGTGTGAGAAATTTAATTCTCAGTGGATTGTACATGAATTAAAATTCATAAACTCATTTCTTCCAAGAAGCAATAATGCAGCTGTGAATGACTGTGTGTGAGGTAGGGACTTACTTTAGCCAAGTAGGTTTAGAGTTAAGAAAGCATTTCCTTTACCTCAGCTTTCAGGATAGCGACAACTTGGACAACGGCCTTATCCTTACACTGCCAGTGGCACTGAATGAATATGCAGAACATATTGATAATCATGTGATAGAGTGTTGACAAAAAACTGGAAAATTTTCAAGTTCAAATTTTTGTAGACAAGATGACACTGACAGTAGCTGACTTTTTAAAATTCAGTAGTCAAGTTGAAAATGTGAATAACAGGAGTGGCACTCTCACTGTCTCAGTAAGATCGGGTAACTTATAATCCATTTCTTCGTTTTAGGACATGTGTGTGGTGTGTGGGAGTTTTGGCCTTGGTGCAGAAGGTCGTCTTTTGGCCTGTGCTCAGTGCGGCCAGTGCTACCATCCGTTCTGTGTTGGCATAAAGGTATTAAGTTTGCACACCACACATTCAGTATACTGGGGTACTATCCTGTCATATACAGACCTACATGTAAATGTCTCAATGTTATTTTACAGATTACTAAGGTGGTACTCAGTAAAGGCTGGCGCTGTCTGGAGTGTACAGTTTGTGAGGCATGTGGCCAGGCCACAGATCCTGGTCGCTTGCTGCTGTGTGACGACTGCGACATCAGTTATCACACCTACTGCCTGGACCCTCCACTGCAGAATGTACCCAAGGACAGCTGGAAGTGCAAATGGTCAGTAACTTTACAAGTATCTCACCCAATATTGCTTCCAACTGGAATTTTCAATTATAATTAGTGTTTTCTCTAAGCATTAAACAAGTATACATGCTCAACACTGTACTGTTTATTTTGTTTTATTTTATGCAACTCAAAAGAGTTTGCTACCTTCTACTTTTTCAATAAGTACCTCACTGTGAAATGCTTTCTTAACTATCTGTTTGAAAATCAGCTGTCTTCAACTAAATAAATGGATGTAAAATGAATTCCTTCAATATTTTGATGGGATTAATTGAACTTATTATAATTCTTCAAAAATGGTAAATGAGCAGGAAATATTTTCATCTTTGCTACAAAAAACAGATACTATTCACTGCACTGTCAACATGCTGCAGAGTTCATTTGCATGAACCTCTTTGAAGTAAGCTGGATAGAATGACCTCTGTTCTCCATGTCCCTTGTAGGTGTGTGTCCTGTATCCAGTGTGGTGCCACCACCCCAGGCCTAAGGTGTGACTGGCAGAATAATTATACCCAGTGTGCCCCCTGTGCCAGTCTTGCAACCTGCCCAATCTGCCTGGTGGACTACAGTGAAGGCACTGTCATTGTGCAGTGCCGCCAGTGTGACAGGTGCACAGTGTTTCTATAAAACGTGTCAGCTCAAGAGGACCAGACCACACTGATATTTTAGCTTAACTGTCTCTACTTTTCTCTTCTTTCCACAGATGGTTTCATGCCTCTTGTCAGGGTCTCCATTCAGAGGAAGACGTAGAAAAAGCAGCAGACAGCAACTTTGACTGCACAATGTGCCAAGCATTCAAAACCACTAAAGGTGGGAGTACTGCGATTCCTTAACTATGGCGTTTGATCCTCGTGTTTATGGTGTTTTGTTTTTAATGGCTTTTGTATCTCCTGTGCTGCTGCAGTTGTGACCAAGGTCAGAGACACCATTGAGCCTGTAATTATGACACAGATTGTCACAAAAGCTAAAGAAATGGGTAAGTTCACAACTTTAAATTTGATGGATTTTAAGTAACAGATTTGATTTTAGTCTGTACAGTATATGATTATTCTAGCTTCCTGTTATTTTTATTTATTTGTCTTTTCAGATTTGTCAAGGACCTATACCCAGGATGGTGTTTGTCTGACAGAATCAGGGCTTTGCCAGCTCCAGAGCTTGTCTGCTACAGCGTCACGGCGCAAGAAACCCAAGCCAAAGCTGAAGTTGAAGATCATTAACCAGAACAGTGTGGCAGTGCTTCAGGCTCCTGTAGACCCCCTCTCAGAACACTGTCGCGATGAAGACATGGAGGACAACAGAGGTACTCATTTTTTTTCCACACAAGCTTCTTGCTGCTTCTCAGACAGGTTATTAGGGGCCTTCACTATAATAGTGACTTAGGCGTATCAATATTGTCTTTCTTTTTTCCAGCTAACTGGATGTTTTTTCAGATTGTTTACTCCTGTAGCTTTGTTTTAATTTTTCTTTTTCAACACCATACAGCTATGGAGCCAGATTGATGACTTTAGTCTTTGGCACTGAAAAATATAGCTTGGCATTGAAAACAAAACCTAACTGAACCATAACCATAACTGAAAAAGCAAACATTGGCATTGAAGCAGTTGTACAGAAAAAAAGGCCTTAAAGTAGTAACACAATCTTCTGATGTTTTGTTAACATGCGTCTTTTTCAATGTTAAAGGTGTTTGTTGTTTTTTTTGTGACAATCTTCTGACTTTTTATTTATTTATTTTTTTGTCAGTGTTTTTTCTCTGTTGCACTTCTCTGACACTGTTTGGCTTTGAGGGGAGGGGCTAAGGACAGTGTTATTTGCATACTCTGACATCAATGAGGGGAGGACGGCCCTCTCCCTTGAGCCACTGTCAGCATCGAGGCTTCTGTCTACTGAGCATGGCTGCATGGTTACTGCAGCAGCTTCCCCAGATTCACCTGGTGCTCTCAGACTGCTGTGTGTTTCTCTCTTCTGGTGTCTTACAGCTGCACACTTAAAATTACTAAAAGCTAATGCAATTAACTTGACACTCAACATCAAACATTTCTTTTAATGCTAGAAATATTGTCACATGGTGTTTTAAACAAAGTATGGAAGAGTACATGTTATTCCTTGCTCTCAATATAAATATTATTAGTTGAAACTGCTAGTTGCGACTGGTCTCTCCCTCTCACAGAGACAGAGCTTCTAGATTGTGAGGTGAAGTCTGACTCGAGCCTAGAGCGAGAGCCAGCAGAAGATGACTCCAAGGGGGCCGACAGTGGCAAGAAGAGGAAGAGGAAACCGTACCGGCCGGGTAGGGCACCTTATTAAAAGAGACAGCTCTGAGGCATAAAATGGAGCAGTGCATGCTCGATGTTGTAACTGTAGCAAAGCACTGCTATCTCAGGGCCTGTAACCTAGAGAGGCTCCACCTTTGAGCTTTAATGCTGAAGGCAATGAACAATTAATAGAATCAGTCAAAACGCTATATATTTCAAATCCTGTTATCTTTGATATTAAAATCGTATTCTTTATGGATATATTCACTGATGATACATTTCTAAATTTTTCTTACAAGGAATCGGTGGGTTCATGGTTCGCCAGAGGAGCCGTCCAGGCCAAGGTCCAGGCAAGGCCAAGCGATCTCTCTGTAGAAAGGATTCCTCTGGCTCCGTGTCAGAGAATCTCACTGGAAAAGATGAGGGTCAGTACATCAGGAATGTACACGCACATCTGCTGATCTGTCAGTTTGTTTTAATTTCATAATAACAGCTTAAAGACACAGCAGAACTGTAGAACATATATTCTTTCCTGGTGCAGGATGGACGGAGGCACTGCCTGAAACTCCTGTGGATGAGACGCCTCCTGGACAAGAGGTTCCAGAGAAAATAAAGAAACGCTATCGAAAGAAAAAAACCAAACTGGAGGAGGCCTTCCCAACCTACCTGCAGGTCTGCCCCTATATAGCCATATAGTGTAAACCCCTGTATAACCATTTTGGGGTATTATAAGTCTCTGATCAATGTCCTCAAATTCATAAGAATCCTACAAAAAATTTGCTTTAATAGCAACCAACAAAGTTAATTTTACCAACATAGATGCCACACATTTCATCTTAAACATTGCATATTCTAACAGGCATGTTCATTGCAAACAACATTGCATTGTTTAAGTGGATTATATGATCTGGTTGATTGCACATTTGTTTTATTGTTATGCAAGCCTGGTGACACAGTGGTTAGCACTGTTGCCTCACAGCAAGAAGGTTTCATGTTTGAGCCCCAGGCAACCCGATGCCCTTTTGTGATGATGGATGGATGGATGTTATGCAAGCCTTGAATCTATATGCACTGACTGTCTGGTTGAGTCGTGCCATATTTCCATAGAATACATTTTATCACAGCCTTGTGATGGTTTAAAGTAAATCGTAAGTACATTGCCTGGAAACCACTTAGAGAACTTTGGGCCTTTTTGTCCCTTCTGTGAGCTATTCTTGAGGGAGGGACAGCCTACAGGAACTTACAGTAGAGGATACTCGTCTGAGCAGCTCTTGAAATTGTTCCTGTTTGGGTTGCGAATTGACTTATAAAAGCTTAACTGGAGAGGACTTCAAGGCTCCTTGTCTCTAGCTAGTATCTCAGTGTCACCTTGTGTTGGCCAAAACAGAGCTATGTGATGTGCATTAAGTCACCGGCAGCTGTCAGTGCTGCTCTTTATCCCACCACAGTAGGTGGAACAGAAGGATGCTCAGTCTAAACTACAGGTCTGACACAGTGAAGCACATGCCATTAATTATTGAGATAGCAACACATTCGGCTTTTAATGTCTTGGTGCGGCAGGGAGCTGCAATTACATGTCATTGAGGATAGTGGATGACTGGTGGCTGTAAGTGGCTGGCGGAGATAGGTGCTGAGACAAGTGAGGTCCAGTGTCATGAGTGTTAGTTTCAGAGCGTTTCAGAGTGTTTAATTCTCGCCAGTTCTCATGGGTGTTCAGTATGCGCTGAATAATATCTGTGATGTGATGTGATTGCTATGAATGTTAAACTGCCAGTGTTTCAAGAAGTGTCAACACAGAACTGACCAGTGGTGTGTTGTCATGTTCAGGAGGCATTCTTTGGAAAGGACCTTCTGGACAAAAGTAAACAGAGTCGGCAGCAGGGGGTCGAGTCAGGCTTACTGGAAGAAGGGCAGAGCCAAGTGGAGAGGAAGCACCCCACCACGAACTTCTTGGATCCTTCATCAGACCCTCTGCTCAGTGCCTCAACAGCATCTCTTCCAGGCAGACCCACAGCAGCACGTATGTATATACATTACTTTGGAACTCCATTACAAGGGATGTAATGACTCAGTGATTCAAAGTGATCTGTCAGACTAAATATTAGGTATTTAAATTAGACCACTGCCAAAGTGGAGTTGATATAGGTATTAGAAAAGCCTGACCCAACAGGTATCTTGTTTCTTTTTATTTTGTGACCTAACCATTTCTTTCATTCATTAATGCATTTTTCTCTCTTGTCACTGCAAGTGTCAGCACCACTGAGAATATTAACCCTTTTTATATACAAGTAAATGGGTATGACACAGGTCCACTGCATTTCACTTATTCACACAAGACAGCTTCAAAGGTTAAACAAATGCATCTAAACAAAAGAATTCCACAGAAATTCATTTCATAAGTACCAAATAAGGTGACGTTTCACTTTCTCTTCCAAGCTTGCTCAGTCTCGCCTGCCCAGTCACTCTCTCTCTTACTCTCTTGAGCTTTCTCTCAATTTTACATGAAATGTCACATGTCCCTTGTGCTGCCCAGAATCACTGGTTGTGCAGCCAGAAAACAAAATGCCATGTGCCTGAAAGAGAATAGTTACAATATTGTATAGTGAGCACATCTTTCACATGGTTTGTCTGAATCCAAATGGAATTTTGCAATGGATGAGAATTCATGCACCCTAACAAAGAGTGGTTTCACTGTTTATGTTGCTGGATGTGACTGTTACCCATTTATGGTATTTATAATGTAGCACAGCTGTAGCTGCAATTCTTGTTTCAACAGTAGGTGATAGGGATTGGATATCGTACCTGGCACCTGCATTTATTGAAATGGCAATAAAGAAATGAAAACAAAGACTAGCATAATATTTCATTCCTCACAATATCAAGTGACACAAATGATGTACATTTTCAACATGTTTTAGTGTTTTTGATGTCCTAGTATTACAGTTTATATATTTTGTGATAGTACCCTTGAGGGTTGCTTCATTTAGGTAAATAATACTCTTGGAAGAACAGGTTGGTGAAGTACATAACATATTTTTCAGGGGTGAGTCAATGTCACTATTGTTTGCATACTGTAAAGTTTCTTCTCTTGTTTAATCCAGACCATGTGGCATCCAAACAGATATTTCCAAATCACACTGTCCATTCAACATCACCATCTATTTTGATTTGTGACGGTTTGGTTTTCTTTTTCTTTCTTTCTTTCTTTCTTTCTTTCTTTTTTGTTTGTTTCTTCCTTTTTTTCCCCCCCATCTACAGAGACGTCTGAGGAACCATTAGTTGATCTAGCTGATGTTCTGAACACTGATGCAGACATCTTGGGAATGCTCGGAAAACCAAGCAGTGACTCTGGTGCGTCATATATCACAGGCAGTCACAGCAGCAAGAATATATTAATAGTCACCTATCTGTGGGTTTACAAACTCTCTTCTTCCCAGTTCAGAAATTTCCTCAGACAGGTTTATTTTACTTCCACCACATTCTTTAATAATACTTTTTTATTCATCTTTGGTTTTATCTTTTGTTTGCATTGTCTGAAACGTGTTATGCTTGTTCTGTTGTCACTATTTTTTCACTCATTTTATCTGGTTTTGGGTTCTTGTAGGTCTTGATTTTTGCCCCTTCCAGGTTGACAGCTCACCTCCTCCTTTTGGTAAGGGTGCTATGGCCTCCTAATCCCTTGCTTTAATGCATTCCTCCTCTCTTACAGTGTGTCACTCCATTTTAATGTGCATGTATATACTCTGCCTCATACTTGGCTTTTCTCAATCATTTCAGATTGTTGTAACTCTCTTAAACTGCTTAAACCCTTCCACAGTGGTGACATTTTGAAAAACAAGTATTAATTCATAACTGCCTAATCAAGGACATCGTCAAGATAGCAAAGGAGCAAACTGACAAGGACATCCTGGCATTTAAGAAATAAGCAGTTAAAAGCCAAGCAATATACAAAGAGGCCTTGGTGAATGTCCTTCTAGTTTTTTTTGTTTTTTTTTTCAGGCTAAATGACAAAAAGCAAGTACATGTCCTTCATTCTTTGTAAAAATGATTTTTCCAGCTTAAGTGCTCTGTCGGCTGATAGTGATTTACTTCTAATACAAATATTGCCAAGTAATGTCGCGACCATCCTTGTCATGATAGAAAGTTTTTTTGTTGAAGGACATAGCTCCTCTGAAGTGTATGGAAGAAATGGAAATTAAAGACTGGAGCAAGGAAAAAGATAATTCAAAGACAGAAACATTGTGGGTTTTCTCATTGACTGGAGCAAGTGATTTAAAAATTGATGAAGCTGCATGTCTTACTTTTTCGAAGAGATTTCTAAGATAATTAGTACAAAAGACCAACAGTGTGATTGACAGATCAGAGCATTATTTTCCTTCACAAACATTCAGTTTGTGTATTTTAACTGAGAATTGGTATGACCTGTCTGTCTCTTCACAGTTTCCAAAACACTACTCCCAAACAACACAGGAACCCTAAGAAGCTGTAATCATATACTGTTTCATTTTGATTACATTCCACAGGCTGTTAAGATGATAAACATGCTTTCACCTTTTGTCTATATTAATAATCACTTTCTTGGTTGTGGATTTTATTGGTTGTTTGGTTATTTCGTGTTGTACGCATTATGACTTGTTTTTCCATGTCTGTGTGTTTCCACAGCTGGTCTGGATATCGGGCCCCTGGCAGAGAGTTCCCCAGTGACGGCCCAGTCTCATGTTGGCCGCAGGACACCTCGAACCCTCCCAGAGGAACCCCTAGATGGAATTCTTAGCCCAGAGCTAGACAAGATGGTCACTGATGGTCAGTGTGAGACGAGACCCCCAGACAGTTTCAGATGTATTTATGCTGTTCTTTTAAAACTCCATACAAGATGTATAATGACCTATTTCTCTTTGTTCCTTGTTGCAGAATCAATTCTCAGCAAACTTTACAAAATTCCAGGTTTGTAATTACATCTGTTTTGTAAAACTGTAAGCTTTTCCAGGGTTTTCCCACACCAATTAATATGACTTGGCTGGTAACCCATGATTCAGTATTTTATTAAGTGATACATACGGGCTAGTGTGATAATTTGCACACATTTAATAAATGATGAAAATCAATTATCTAATTATTTCCTAATAAAGGCAATAAATGTATTGCTGTTTTATTCTTCTTCAAAACCTTTTCTAATGCTGTCTCAATTATTATTGATCAGTATGTTGTAATGAACTATCCCTACTAATGTAATTAAATGCAGTATATTTTTATACACATATTTGTGTTGTCACATTCTTTTACAGAGCTGGAGAGTAAGGATGTAGAGGATCTTTTCACAGCAGTCCTTAGCCCCAGCACAAGCCAACCACCTCCACCACCACAGGTGCCTCATCCCCAGGCTCCAGGGCCCCTCCCTGCCACACCTGGCACCAGCATGCCTCACCCCAGTGCAGGTACCTCAGTAATTACCTTGCCATGGTCTGGTATAACATTTAATGTTGCTTATGAAAATTTGGGCATCCAGTTCAGATTTTAAATCATGTCTGTAGGGAACCCCATGTTTCCAAGGATGCCAGTGATCAATGGTATAATGGGACCAAACCAACGCTTCCCTACAAATCCAGGAACAGGGCCCTGTATCCCAGAAAATTTCTCCCCCCTTAACCGTATGCCTTTCACTGACAATCCAAGGTAAGGTACTGCTTTCTTTAAACCATTACAGGATGAAAGAATACCTTATGACTTGTTTTCCTCTGTTGTAACAGGGATAGAAAATTTAATCAAATGCCTAGAGAAGCAATTGGGCCATGGCCCTCCCCTGCCCATGGCCCTGGCCCTACGCCCCCTTCTCTGCCTGAGGGGGAGACTGAAGCCATGTCAAATGCCCAGAGGAGTACACTCAAGTGGGAGAAGGAGGAGACGCTTGGAGAGCTAGCCACTGTTGCGCCTGTCCTATATACCAATGTTAATTTCCCCAACCTCAAAGAAGAATACCCAGGTTGGCTTATGGATCTTCAGCTTTATTGTTATTATGTTTTAATTGTGTGATTAGTCTTTTTTTTCCTGTGTGGTGTTATTTTGGCTTTTCTGAGTATTGTTTGGGTGTACACACTGCACTGGCTCAGTATCACAGCACAGAAAAATACCTTGTATGCTCTGTAAGACTGTTGGCATGATAACTCCTCTTATTCTTTCAACAGACTGGTCTACAAGAGTAAAGCAAATTGCAAAACTGTGGAGGAAAGCTAGTTCACAAGACAGGGCCCCATATGTGGTAAGATCACTCATACTGTTGAATTTTTCTCAACTACTTCAAAGCCTAAACACCTTGAACCATGACAGCCATCAGACTGTCGCTACTAGTTGCACTGACATGTTAGTATGCAGAAAGCACACTCCTGTATCACATCTGGCCTCTTGCTTCTTGCCAATGCAATTTGAAATCCAGCCATTCACAGATGAACTAATTAACATAGGAAGCTCTGCTCAGTGTTAGAATTCATTACAGTCTTAGTAATTAAGTTCACTAGAAGTAATTTTATCTGGCAGAGCCAGTTTCAAAGGGCTAGTTTTGATTTAGAAAAAGTGTACCCTGCATTTGTGATTTTAAGGATATTGTGACACTAGTGACATGGTTATGGCTCTTTCATAGCTTAATCTTTTGATGTCCGACTTTAACATCCCAGCCATGATCAGGAAACTATTGAGAAATCTAATATGGATGACCTCCAGCTTATGCTGGATATACAGTGGTCCCTCGTTAATCGCGGGAGTTACGTTCTAACATAACCCGCAATAGGCGAAATCCGCGAAGTAGTCAGCTTTATTTTTTACAATTATTATAGATGTTTTAAGGCTGTAAAACCCCTCACTACACACTATATACACTTTATATGGACAGTTACAACCCTTTTTGCATCCTTGTCGAAACTTATTGCTGCTGTCGTCCTTATGTTATTTTCCTCCTTCTTTATGTAACGAACCGAAGATTCATTTATTCTGTAATGGCGCCCTACAGCCGCGTAACTTCTACCTTCCTTTAACATGTCCAGAAGTCCAACTTTTTGTGAGATGGTTAGCATCTTCCTCTGCCTTTCGGGTGCTACCGCAGGTGCCTTTGACGGTGCAGAACGTTTCGTCGACATTGTGGGGTTTGTTGGGGAGAAAACTTGCAAACATACAGTACAGCACTTCAGAGTCACACTGCTAGCGATCGAAGATTTATGTAAATTTGGCAAGCTGAACGCATTCTGTACTGTACAGGAGACACGGCATGCAAAAAGCATGCAAAATTGCAACAAAAAAAAAATTTGTGAAACTGCGAGGCCGCGAAAGGTGAACCGCGTTATAGCGAGGGACCACTGTATAGTAAGAAGTGTCCTGGTTGTGCATGCGAAAGACACTAAATGTGCATAAAAAAGGCAACCCAGAAGCACATAACACTTACTTAATCCCTTGAACATTTTCAGAGAAACAGGCCTTAACCAATCAAAATCAAATAACTTTAGTTATGTATATTTTTAGATTAGATTAGATTATGTTCAATTTTATTGGCATTACCCATGTACAAGTACAAGGCAACAAAATGCAGTTTAGCATCTAACCAGAAGTGCAATAACAGCAGCACAGAGTGCGCAGTATCTACAGTCTGTACAGTCAGATCTAATTTACCAATGTACAATTGATATTTACAGTAAAATATGTAGGGTAATGTATGATATATACAACAGACTATGGATTCAAATTACTAGTAATGGACAAGGTACATTAAGCTTATGGAACACTAGTGCAATGTGATGCGATGGAATGAAACAGTGCAGAATAAGAAGACAATAAGTTACACACACACACACACACACACATAGATATGTGTATATATGTGTGTGTGTGTGTGTTCATGCCATTATAAGTTAGAGACCCCTGTTCTTATGATGCTGGTGCTGGTTGATTCTTGATTAAATGTGCTATGTTGTAAAATTTGAGTATCTTTTTTCATTGTGCTGTTTTGAGCATGAAGTTTGGTGTCCTTATATGTCATAAGATACTGAAGCAAGTTCTATGAAAGAGAATTTAAAGTTATATTATAGTGTGAGCAAAATTTTCCCAGTATTGCACTTTTTTCTAAAAAAAAATCAAGGTTTCACTGGTAACTAACCTCTTTATCAGCAGTCTTGAGTTTATGAATTAAATACATCTGACATGTTTTTTTGTTTTGCAATTGTGATGGGTTTTCTGTTTAGCAAAAGGCAAGAGATAACCGAGCAGCCCTGCGCATCAACAAAGTCCAGATGTCGAATGAGACGGTGAAGAGGCACCATCCACAGCAACAGCCCCCTGAGGTGTTTGATCCCAACATACCACTAGACACAGAACTGCTGTTTAAAGACCCTTTGAAACCAAAAGAGTCAGAGCATGAACAAGAGTGGAAGTTTAGACAGGTAAGAGTGTATGTAATGAAGTCAGCGAATGCAGCGGCAGGTCCACTTTATATTAAGACAGCTAAGAAGTGGTGGTTTAGTAAAGCTCCATAAACAACTACACTATCCTCCTCATTAACCCTGATGACACTGGTGGTTAGTAGGTCCAGTTAATTTTGGGCATCAGGCTGACATTTGCTGCATTCTTTTTGGTGTATAATCTCACTTTTCATTGTGTACTTCCAACAGCAAATGAGGCAGAAAAGCAAACAGCAAGCGAAAATTGAAGCCACTCAGAAGCTTGAACAAGTTAAGAATGAGCAACTCCAGCAGCAGCAGCAGCAACAACAACAACAGCAGACCAACAGCCAGGCAGAGGGAGATGGCAACAACAGTGGGAACCAGAGCCCTACTTCTCAGCCCAGCAATGGCAGTATGTCCCCCATGCAGCAGATCAACTCTAAAGAAGGCTTTGCCAGGCCACAGCTGCCAGGGACTCCCACTTCAGGTCCTTCAGAGGATGTGTTCCTAAGACCCCCTCCTCCCCCTCCATCTGGCCCTTCTTCCCAGCCTCAGTCCCCACAGGTATTCTCACCAGGTTCCACTGGTTCTAGACCCTCTTCTCCATGGGACCCATATGCCAAGATGGTTGGAACCCCAAGACCACCAACTCTCGGGCCAAATACATGTCGCAGAATGGCTGTGGAATCTGGCAAATCCCCCACCTCCTTGATGGAGCAGCAGGACAGAGGTCGGCCTTCTCCTGCTCATGAGTCATTTGGTTCTCCAACATCCATGAGCAGTGACCCTTATGCCAAGCCACCTGACACCCCAAGGCCAACTGGGGAAATGGACCCCTTTTTGAAGCCCATGGGTCCTCCCAGGGCCAGTCAGGCTGCTCAGGGAAGGCCTCCAATGGGTTCTCCAGGCAGAGACACATACTCTAGACCTATGATAAGAAATGAGGCCTATCAGCGCATGGCCCAAAACAGGATGATCTTGTCTGATCCTTACTCAAGGCCTTTACTAACACCAATCCCTGGAAGTAATGAGTCTGGCTCAGTGCCTCTGTTCAAAACACCTATGCCCCCTCCTCAGGACCCCTTCAACCGACCAGGTCCACATCCTACTGACAGATTCTCCCAAAATCAGCAGAATGACCCCTGTGCTCAGCTTTCGCATACCCCAAGACCATCTGGGAATGATGGCTTTACCAATCCTAGAATGGGTCAGCACCATTCTCAGGGCCACTCATTTGCTCAGCCTGGACCAATGACTCAAATGTCCAGAAATCCTTATGCTCATGCACCTTCCACTCCAAGACCTGACCACTTCACATATGACCCTTTTGCCCAGCCCACTGCTCCCAATAAGCCAGGTGCTGACCCTTTTAATCAGTCTACAGGTAACCAACGATCCATCAATGAACCTGGTACTCAACCTCAACCTCGCCCATTTTTTGAACCCTATGCTCGACCTCCTGGCACCCCACGTCCACATGACAACTATGGTCAACCATCTAACACCCCTAATACATCGTCTGACCCCTATTCACAGGCTTCTGCTACTCCACGTCCCAGTGGGATGAACCAGTTCACTCATCAGTCACACCCTGGACAGAGGATGTCACCTTCTCACTCAGTGGACCCTTATGCTCAACCACCAGGTACTCCACGGCCCTCAATGGGAGAAAGGTTTTCCAAGTCACCAGGTAGCCAGAGGGGGCCAGCAGAGTCATTTACTAGTACACCTGGGGCATCAAGGCCAGGGAGTAGTGACATGTTTTCTCAGCCTGGGACCCCCAGACCAATACTTAATGAGCCTTATGCTCAGCCTCCAGGGACCCCACGGCCTGGTCCTGATGTGCTCAGCAGGCAAGGTCCAAGGCCAGGACCAGTTGTAAACCAGGATCCTTTCTCCCCATCTCAAGGCAGGATTCAAGAGCCCTTTCCTCATGCAGGTTCACAGACATCAAAACACCCAAGTGTGTCTGAAGATGGATTTGTTCAGTCTCCCTCCAGAAGACCCATTCAGAAACCTGGCCATGACCCATTTGAACAAGCCTCCATGATCCCTCATCCACAGGCATCAGAAAAAATGGAAATGAAAGATCAGTCAGGTATAGCTAATAGTGAAGTTATCCCTCAAGACCCAAGCCAAATGTCGAGCAACCTACAAATGCCTGGTGTGTCCTCTGAGGCCCAGAGTGTTGCTCTTGCTGATAGCGAGGAAAGACTCAGACAGGTACATGAATAAAATTTTATTTTTGCATTGGAGTTTTACTCATTTAAGTTATTTATTTTATTGGAATTTGTTTTTTTTGACATCCTGGGTCATTTAGTTAGGCTATCATTGCTATCAGTATTATAGTTTTTTACTCATCAAGTCAGTTGTTGAGATCTGTAGAAATGTTTCTTGTCCTACACAACAACCACCACATGCAGTCAGATGATCACATAGGTTGTACATGAACCCCCATTTTAGCCATATTGCTTATTTGGATGTGAAGCCAAAAGTGAGCACACCTGAGTTATCTGTTGTAATCGTTCAGAAAAACTGTATGACTGCACAGATAAAATCAACAGGTCAAAGTTACATCAGGAACCCGGTGAGCAACATATAGATATGGTAATAATAATAATAATAAATAGTGCAATAAACTGTAGATAAAGCTCGCCACATGCACCAGTCTGATAGCTCCAAATGTCTCGAATATACTATTTATGCACAGTGCTTCTCCCTCCTTTCTCTGATTGCTCTACTCTGTTGTTGTACATTGTCTGTTGCCAAATCAGCCTGAGAGCCTCCATGCTGGAGACAAATTGCCTGCATGCAACACATACTTGGTGAATAAAGCTGACTCTCTCTCTCTCCTCATTATCTGACAAGTTTTTGTATGAGGCTTTATACTGTTAAACAGTTATACACATAACACACTTGACCGCATGCAGAAACACAGAATGGAACAAAAACCAAAGACACAAACTGAACATATTTGACAAAAAAGTAGGAACTTTCTGTATTTGCATAATTGAATACATAGAATAGCAGTTAATGTAAAAAAGGGATCTTTGAATTGCGTTGCTGCACATTGTGTATAATAAGTAGGCCAAAAATGAACCGGCAATCTCTCTAAATAGTATTATGAGCTATACATGGCACATTGACCTTGTGTTTAAAAATGATTAAAATTCTATACATTTGTTGTTGTGTGTTGTAGCGACAACGAATTAGAGAATTAATCCTCAAGCAGCAGCAACAGAGGAGTGCCATACGACAAGAGAGGGGCCCCCAGGAGCCTGCTGGCAACATAACCCCAGGAACACCACGTCCCTGGCTCCAAGAGGGCCCTGGGCAGCAGGGGGAAGCATTCAACCGTCCTCCTCCACCTTATCCTGGACAAGTACCTGTAAGAGGACCAATGAGGTTTCCTGGACCTTTTCCAGGGGATCAGCGTGTCCCTTTTCCTAGTGAGGGACAAATCCTACAGGGCCCCCATTCTGGAGATCCTAATTTGAGACATCAGGGACCAAGGTTTGTATTACAATAATATGGTTTTTAAATAGACAATTTTTTTCAGTTATCTGTAATTGATACAGCAGCACTACTCAAAATATAGAACTGTAATTCTGCTATCCCCCGCCCCCCCCCTCTGCTCCCCCCCCCCCCCCCCACACACACATATGTTTCTTCCAATTTTAGGTATGCATTTTCACCAGGGGCTCTAGGACCTCATGGACCTCAAGAGTTCCTTCCCCGGGGCCAACACCCAATGCAGGATGTCCCTCCTCAAATGAGACGCTCCATGTCTGCTGAAATGGCAAAGACTATGGGAGGGAACCCTCTGGGCTTGCCCCAGCACTTTCCACCACGTGGTATTCCAGTACAGCAGCACAACATAATGGGCCAGCCTTTTATTGAGCTGCGACATAGAGCAGTAGAAAACAGGCCCCGTATGCCATTTCCCCCAGGTGCCATGCAAGGAAGCAACATAGATGCCAGCTTGCAGGGTCATAGGCCAACAAGCTTTCCAGGAGCACATGATGCCAGGTTCCCTTCAAATCAGGGGCCCAGGATGGTAGACCCCATGTCCAGCCAGACTGGCCAGGTACAACTGTCTGCCAGCATGGACAATCTTCACCAGCATGCCCAAATGTCAGGAAACAACACACTCAAACAGCCTCCTCTGATGAGATCCATGAGCCAGCCTGCCTCAAATGAGACCCAGAACATGGCAGCATCAATGCTCCTGACTGCGACCCCTGCAGGGCAGACTGAGACTCTCTCAGTGGCCAGCAGTGAAGTGGTGGAGGAGAAACTGGATGCCGAAGAATCAGCAGTCAAAGACCTTGAGGATGTGGAAGTGAAAGACTTGGTGGATGCTGACTTGGAAAATCTAAATCTGGATCCTGAGGATGGTAAAGATCTTGACCTGGAGACACATGATCTACACCTTGATGACTTCCTAACATCTGGAAAATTTGATATCATTGCTTATACAGACCCTGACCTAGATGACATTAAGAAAGATATGTTTAATGAGGAACTGGATCTTAGTGATCCTATAGATGATAATGCTGGAAACACGGACATCAACAACAGCTCGACCATTGCAGCAGAGGCTTCATCCAGTTCAGCATCTGTTCTGGCAAAGTCAGATGCCTCACGGGAGCGGTCTTCAGCTGAAGTCAAGCTGGAAGCACCTGGGAGTCAGGCACCTGGGCATGACATTAAAACAGAGGTCAAAGACTGTGAGAAACCACCTGAGGTGGCAGACCAGCAGGCTACTGGAAACACCTTAACTTCAAACCAGCAGGGAGTGCTATCTGACTCCACCCCTGTCCTATCTAGTTTACTCTTTAAGCAGCAGCCTGAGGAGCAGTCATTAAATTCAGTCGTTGACTCTGTCAATCAAGGAGGTAACCTCATGCCCCAACAGAACCAAGTCTCTGACACTCAACATACCTCTGGACTTGCATTAAGTCAAACAATACCTGATGCCACCACTGCAGGAGAAGCTTCTGTGACCGTGTTTGGAGCTGACCACCAGATGGGAATAACCTCTGGAGTAGACCAGGGCAGTCTTAGTCAGGTCCAGCAGACAGCATTGAATCAGACGATGGGTCAGCTCAGCCAGCAACCGCGTCCTCTTTTGCTGGAGGAGCAACCACTCCTATTGCAGGACCTCCTAGACCAGGAGAGGCAGGAGCAACAGCAGCAAAGGCAAATGCAAGCCATGATACGGCAGCGTTCCAACGACTCCTTCTTCCCCAACATTGGTAAATTATTTAGCCCACAACCTCTGCTAGTCAGTAATATTCACTTTTTGTACAGTGATTGTTTCTGAGAGTGCAGTGTTTATTTGCAGATTTTGATGCCATCACAGATCCCATTATGAAAGCCAAAATGGTTGCCCTGAAAGGCATCAATAAAGTCATGGTTCAGAACAACATGGGAATGACCCCGATGGTCATGAATAGGTAAAAAGTTGATTTTGGGTTTTCTGCTTTTTTTAAGTACTACTGGTAGAGGGAATACGGTTTTATATCAGTGGTAATACCAACCTAATAACCCTGTTTGATTTTGTGGATATATTTGAGTTGCTGTTATGATTGATTTTAAAGAATGGTTAAATTGTGCATGGCTGTGATATTGTATTACAGATTTCCTCCTGGTCCTGTACCACCTTGTCCTGAAAGTACACCACTTCCACCACAAATTGTTGGCCAGGTAATTGAACCATTAATCAGCGTAAATGTTATTTAAAACAGTATAATGTTAAATATTTAAGTTGCATATACTAGCATATTTCTTGGTGTTGCTTTCAGGATGGTAAAGTGACACAAGTAGCACGACCGAATCCTCCAAACTTTGGACCAGGATTTGTCAGTAAGTTGAATTTATATGCATTTCAACATTTTGGTTTGAAGATTTGTCATGTGTAGAAATGTAAAACAAGCTAGGCCTCATTCACCAGCAATTCTTAAGAACAAATTTCTTGTTAAAGCCCATGTACATAGTTTTCATAAAGAAAACACTGACAAGCCTGTCCTCTACTTGTCAGTCTCTCTCCTGTGTGTGTGTGTGTGTGTGTGTGTGTGTGTGTGTGTGTGTGTGTGTGTGTGTGTGTGTGTGTTTTTTGCGTTGCATTTGTGATCATACTGTTCTTGAGTTGTATGCCTTTCTCCATGTACAGTGTTCACTGTACAAGTAAGAACACATTTATAAATCAGACATAGACTTTTCCTAGGATGTTTCTTAACAAATTAAGAAAAAGAATTAAGAAAATAGGGAACATATTGGTGAATGAGGCCCTTTGTTTCTATGCTATCAAGATTTCTAACAAAATTGCCTTATTTCTTTATTCAGACAATCCTCAGAGGGCTCAGTATGAGGAGTGGCTCCAGGAAACTCAGCAACTACTTCAAATGCAGCAGAAGTTTCTGGAAGAGAAGATTGGAGCTCACAGGAAGTCAAAGAAAGCTCTGTCTGCTAAGCAGAGAACAGCTAAGAAGGCAGGGAGAGAGTTCCCTGAGGAGGATGCCGAGCAGCTCAAACATGTCACAGAGCAGCAGGGTGTAGTACAGAAACAACTGGAGCAGGTAAATACTTGGTCTGTCAAGCTCCACCACTGAATTCTGTCACAACCTACAGCCCTACTTAACACAGTGGCTACCCTAAGCATTGCTTTTTCACTGGCCGTATGAGTTTAATGTTTAAAGAAGCTATTGTAAAATAAGCCTTTGGGCACTCCACCAGAAGTATTTGCCCTCAGGTGGGAGCATAAGCCATGGTACTTAACTATGTTATGGGACATGATACTAAAATGAGCGGAATAACGGGGAGGGAATAACAGATGGGGAAAAAGCAAACCACCTTATTAGACGATATTGCTTTTCAATTATTTATCCAAAAGAGATTTGCATTTTGCACACAAATGCCATGAAATATTATTTTCTAACAGCAAGTTGAATTGCCACAACACTGGTGTTGGTGTAAGAAGGGTAAGACAAGGATAAGGAGAGAAACAAAAACACTACTGTTTCTTCATTTATTTAACCTTCAATTCTTCCTCAGAGTTTTGAGAAACATAATTTATCAGGAGAGGAGTGTTAGTCTTAAATATTATTTTATATATTGTTTCCAACAGTCTTGAAAAATAATAGCTAAACAAACAGACTTCAAAACACAGGTCTGTGTCTCCGCTGCTCCTGTGAACCTGCTTTGATTTTCTTAAAAAAAAAAAAAAAAAAAACTATGCTGAAAAAAAGTCTCATTATTATGTTGTTTGGGAATATGGAATATGTCTGATGTTATGTTTCAGATCCGGAAGCAGCAGAAGGAGCATGCTGAACTTATAGAGGAATACCGAGTGAAGCAGCAGCAAAACAATATGACACCTATAATGGCTGGCATGCACCCGATGCCAGGCCCTGCAGGCATGGTTTCCAGCAGACCCCCAGTGGTTCAGCCTCCTCTGAACCCTATAATGCAGATGCCGCTTCATCCTGGCCAGGCAAATGTACCTCCACGTATACCTAACCCACCACC